ACCTGGAGGCGAGTTAGCGTAGCGAACGAGCTAACCTGAAGGCAAGTGAGCGCAGCGAACGAGCTCTAACCTAAAAGTGAGTGAGCGTAGCGAACGAACTTCAACCAGGACGTGATTGAGCCATGCGAACGAGCTCACTTATGAAGTTAAACGGGGCAAAGCCCGCGGGTTCAACCAGGACGTGATTGAGCCATGCGAACGAGCTCACTTATGAAGTTAAACGGGGCAAAGCCCGCGGGTACAGCTAGTTTTGTATAAAGTAATAGTTACTTTGATGATTTTATATATATCAATAAGTGCTGCGTGCTGTAATGAATGCTTTTTATTATCAAAATAAGTAATCAATTATTAATTTTTGATAATACAATACATGGGTCATTGAATACCATAATTTGGGGTAGTTTCCTATTTGTAACTTGGAAATAATAATAATATTGATTAAGTTAATTCTAGAAGATGAAAAATAGTAATCGTATTCATAAACCTGTTGTCAAAACAGCAATGAGGGTGTAAGGGTTTATTGTTTCAAAGGCAAGGGTGTTTCAAGGACAAAGTGTTGGGCCTCCCGGCTTAGGGGGGGAGGGGTGGTGTTGAGACTGTGTTTTAGTTAGAAAATATAAATAAAATTAGAAGCTTTAACAATTAACATTTAAAGTTCAGAAGATGACTAGTTTCGGGTACAAAGACCCATTGTCAAATCCTATTCAAAACATCATGTAGAAGCTAGTAAAAAATCCGACGGAAGTCTTCATCATTATATAAATACAAGTTGACACATAAAGTTCATTATTTAAAAAACACAAGTTACGGCACATATAAGACGATTGACATTTAACACGGGACAAACCGACACAGGTTACACGGCGGACACGACAGAACTATCCATTGTCCAGTTGGTGACATTGACCTTGGGGGAGGGGGTACGTCAGCTGATAAAGACTTGTATTAGCTCTGTTGTCGATGCTTGCAATTCTATCGAATAAAATATTTGAACCAAAATTTAGTTTTTCATTCAAGACGTCTTGAGGGGATTTTTTATTAGCTTTATAAATTTCTAGACTCTCTAAGACGTTCATGAGAGGGCCTTTACTGCATTTGTGCAAGATTTGTAAATTATTTCGGCAACTATTGACATTGTGATTGGTATTAATTAAATGTTCTGCAAATTTGGAACGTTGTAGTGACAGTTTTGGTTTAGGGAGATGTTCTTTAAACCTGGTGTCAAATCAATTAAATCAATAAAAATCATTAAAATCAATCTAAATCATTATCATTTTGTTTACGGTTGTTTAGGCTCAAATGATGTTGTAGTTTGTTTGACGTTTTACTGGCTAAGGTGATTTTATGTTTCTTTAATTTGTTTTTTAAGGTATAGTGTAGGTTGGCTCCGAATTCGACAGATACAAAGTTGCTGGGTTTATCAATCGGTTTACTAATTTTGTTTTTTTGTTTGTTGATTATCTTATCAATAATACTGCTGGGGTAGCCATTGCTAACAGCTATATGTTTCAGAATGAGGTACTCAGAGTTGTAGTCTTCTGGTGACATTGGGATTCTTAACATTCTGTTAACGAAGCTGTTGTAAGCTGCCATTTTGTGAGCTTGTGGATGATTAGATGAGGCATGAATGGTGTTATCGGTAGTAGTTGGTTTCCTGTATATTTTGAATTTTATGTTGTCATTGTCTTTGGTAAGCGTTAAACCCAGAAAATTTAAAGATTGGTTTAGTTCGACTTCCAAAGTAAACTTCAAATTAGAAGATATGTTATTTAAATAATTATTCAGAAGCTGCAGTTGTCTAGAGTTGCCTTTAAAAACCAAGAATATGTCGTCCACATATCTTTTGTAAAAAATTATATTATTGCAGAGTTTATTGCTGTCGGAGAAAATGGATTCATTCTCGAAGTGGTTCAAGTAAATTTCCGATAATATGCTGGACAGGGGAGAGCCCATAGCCAAGCCGTCGTTTTGTAAATAGAATTTGTCGTTAAATGAAAAATAGTTTTGTTCTAAGGTGATTCTGAGTAAGGTAATCAATTCATCAATTGCTTCGGGGCTAAGTTCGGAGTTTTTTGACAGGTTGTCTCGAGTAATATCTAATGTCTTCTTGATTGGGACGTTGGTATATAAATTTACAATGTCTAGTGAAGCCAGTATAGGGAAGGTATGGGGGTTTAGTGAGTGGGAGAAAATTTCGCGCCGTTCCGGCCAAACCTCGCATGCGGGGTTGGTTCGGCAAATTGGCCACAACCTAAACCCCAACTCTCACTTGTTAGCTGCGGAGAGCTACCTTCTGCCACTGGGTGTTGGTCCACCTACAGAACCAAGTGAGGGGGGCCCTAGACTAAGGTGTAATGCGATCCGTGCCAAGAGTCTTGTGGCACTGGGGGCCTAATATTCAGTGTCTTAACGGAGCCTTCTGGGAACCAGGGGTAACCCAGTCGTACACACCCCTTATCTCTCTAATCGGGTCACTGGGGAGGTGGACTTAAATACCCGGTATTCGTGAGAACAATGTAGACAGTCTGACCCAAATGGAGGAGAAAGGTCTACTGAAATCTGACGATGACGACAAGCTCGCAGAAACCGGAAAGGAACGAAAAACGACTTTCCAGGGGCGAGTTGCAAAGATGGAGGATAGCGGATGCTTTAGCCAAAGGCGAAAAGGTGCTATCCAGAAGTGAGAGGAGGCTGGTGTGGGCTGCCAAGCACCGGGAACTAGGATGCTGGGAAAAAGCAGAGCAAGGGTGGTACCCCCAAAGCTGACTCTAATGAAGCCTCCAGGAAGAAAGGTGGAGGCTGTGCTGACGCAGCCACAAAGGATTGGCTGGTCAAGCAAGTTCAGGAGCTGAGACCTTTCAGGGAAATCTCGCTACGGCTTGCCCCAGCCAGAGACCTTGTGAAAGCTGTGAAGGTATATTTATGTGCCCAGCCCTACAAGGTCTGCGTATGAGATCCCTCGTACGAAAAACTACTTTCCAGGGGTGAGTTGCAAAGACGGAGGATAGCGGATGCTTTAGCCAAAGGCGAAAAGGTGCTATCCAGAAGTGAGAGGAGGCTGGTGTGGGCTGCCAAGCACCCTAACTCTGCTGCCTGCAAAGCCAGTTCCTCCGGGAACTAGGATGCTGGGAAAAAGCAGAGCAAGGGTGGTACCCCCAAAGCTGACTCTAATGAAGCCTCCAGGAAGAAAGGTGGAGGCTGTGCTGACGCAGCCACAAAGGATTGGCTGGTCAAGCAAGTTCAGAAGCTGAGTCCTTTCAGGGAAATCTCGCTACGGCTTGCCCCAGCCAGAGACCTTGTGAAAGCTGTGAAGGTATATTTAGGTGCCCAGCCCTACAAGGTCTGCGTATGAGATCCCTTGGCCTATTGATGGGAGATCAAAGGGAAGAACAGGTCACCATAGTCAAGAGGCTCTCACGGTTCACCAAGGACGTGGGATTTGACGGAGAATGAGGACCTGTGAACGAGGGTGCACAATAAGCTGTTCTAGCTGCGATGCAATCCCATGGTAACTTGTAAGCCTGGCCCTCTGTTAAAAAAAAAAAAAAAAGGCCTTCGATATCCTTTTATTTCTTGCATCTTAATTTAGTTCAGTTCAGTTATTATTGTGATTATCTACTATTTGATGTCTTGACAATTAATTCTGAATGTTCTTTAACATATTAAAATAACATTGTGTTTATTAAAAAATTGTCTGAACATTATTATTATTATGCACTTTTTTTAGAAAAAAAAGGCTTAATAATTTAGATAAGGTGACGCTAGGAAAAGCTCGGCTAGAAAATGTTTTAAAAAGCTCGGCTCGGCTCGACTCGAGGTTGAAAATGCTTACAAGCAGAACATTGCGGAGACTGAAAAATCCATCTTCAGGATATTATCAGGTTCTTTGAGCTCCAAATATCCTTTGCAATACACTACCACATACATGGATATCCTTCACACACACCAAAATGTAACAGCTTTGCGGCAGGCTATCTGATAACAAAATTGCAGCGCACGCTAGCTGCACAGGAAAAATAGACAGATAAAAAAAAACAATTCGAGTGCAAAAGCACATTGCTCACTCGAACAAGCCATGTCTTCTACTGACAGTGAAATTCTTATAAATTCCCAAAACAAAAGCGTCATTTGAGCCTAACCCCATTCCTCCAGCACACCCCCACTACTCACAGCGCCATCTTAAAAGTAGGGATATTTCCCTGCCCCACCCTGTACTTTCAGTTGGCAATACTGGCTTCTAGCCTCAAGCGAGGAGGTTCAACCACGGGAAGCACCTCAAACTCCTGGGTAATCCCGGTTAGCTCCTCCCACTCTGCCCCCTGTCGCCACCTAAAAGACGATCAAGTGATTTGTTGGTCGGGTCTTTTAACGGCCAGTTGGTTTCTCGTATTTAATCATTTAGTTTTACAGACCGGTCAATGGGACTGACGATGAAATAACTTGTCGACGTACAGGTTTGTATTTATCTATTTAATGAAAAAAGACGGTCTAGTGGCCAGACGACTAAGTATCTTGTCGATCTACTGGTGGCCCCCCATTAGCAACTAACATAATAAAACTCTGTTTTCCAGTTAATTTTCTACGAATCTTTTTTAATACATCCCAAAATCATCCTGTTATACCCAATCACGTTTTTCTGAAATTTCAAATCGGTCTCAACTAAAAACAGTTTACTTAATCTGAAATTAACTAAAATGCTATTTTTAGAATAACTAAGTTATCTTCATCCACCTAAATTTCATATAGTTCAAACAAATTCACACCTTCTCAAAAAGTCTATAGTTCTCTCAAATGGAAACTCTGATCTAAATAGAAATAGTGGGTTTTAGTTATTTTCAAATGTATATACAAATTTACTAAAACTTTTATTAGCTGAGTTTAGAAGATGGGTTTTCAAAAAAAGTTCAGAGCTGCAATATGTAGTGCATGGATACTGTAACATAAGGTTCATCTTATAATCAAAAGACTATTTACTATTTAGTTTTACATAGCAGACTTACCGGTTAGCTGAGTTCATTCCATCCTTCATCATTCCGCTAAGCTTTCGCTCCCCTGTTCTCGTGTAGTCCCCCTAGCAAAGGTAAAATAACATTGGTTTTACAATCAAAACGGCTGAAGCAATCCACACAAAATTTAGCACAGTCATAGTAACCAACTATGTTAAGGTATATCTGAAATGGTACGAATTGGACAAAGGGCTATTCTCTACGTGAATTTAAACTTTTATAAATTTAACATAGGCCTTATGGGTCTATTGGTCTCCAATCCCCATGTTATTTTTTGCAAGATAACAATAAAAGGTAAACAAACAAGTCTTAACATATGCACCACCTCTAAACCATCTCATAAACCACCTCTTAACCATCTAATAAACCACCTCCACCAATCAGCAGCTTCAAATTTAAAGAAGTTGATGAAGGAGTAATAGAAAAGATAATTTAGTCTTTTGGTAATAGATTTTCAACAGGAATGGATGACATACAGTAGAACCTCAATTAACCGGGGTAATAGGGGTGAGGGAAACCAGGATAACTGAAACTACAGTTAATCTAACATGACATAAAAGCCTAAAACATGGTGTCTACTAAACCTGGTTTGAAAAATTCAAGGAGTTTTCCAGGAGAATTCAAGACAAATTCCTGAATTTTAAGGAGCTACTATCGGAACCCGTTTAACTAATCGCAACCAGCTAATAAATGAAAATGATTATTATTAGGCTATTATTATTATTAATAATGATTATTATTATTTGAAACAAAACATTTCCAAAGAATAATATTTTATACAACATAATAAAACAGTATAACTGGTAGGTAAGGCGACACCAGTTATCATCTCCCGCGATTGTGGGAATATCAGTGAGCATATCTTGCAGTATCTTCAACATCAGCGACAAAACGTCACACCGTCAACGATCACGGCAACACCCGTATTCATATTTTGCGGTTTGGGCGACACCGATAACCGTCTCTCGCGATCGCGGCAATTCCCGTAGGCATATCTTGCGGTTTCGGCAACACCGATAATCGCCTACCGCGATCGCGGCAATAGCCGTGAGGAAATCTCGCGGGTTCGGCGACACCGATAATCGTCTCCCGTGATCGCGGCAACACCCGTGGGCATATCTCGTGGTTTCGGCGACACCGATAATCGCCTACCGCGATCGCGGCAATAGCCGTGAGGAAATCTCGCGGGTTCGGCGACACCGATAATCGTCTCTCGCGATCGCGGCAATACCCGTGTTGAGCATATCTTGCGGTTTTAGCAACACCGATAATCGTTTCCCGCGATCGCGGCAACACCCGTAGGCATCTCACGCGTCTCTCGCGATTGCGGCAATACTCGTGAGCATATCTTGCGGTTTCGGCAACACCGATAATCGTCTCCCGCGATCGCGGCAATACCCGTGAGCATATCTTGCGGCTTTAGCAACACCGATAATCGTCTCCCGCGATCGCGGCAATACCCGTGCGCATATCTTGCGTTTTTAGCAACACCGATGATCGTTTCCCGCGATCGCGGCAACGCCCGTAGGCATCTCACGTGGTTTCGGCGACACCGATAATCGTCTCTCGCGATCGCGGCAATACCCGTGAGCATATCTTGCGGTTTCGGCAACACCGATAATCGTCTCCCGCGATCGCGGCAATACCCGTGAGCATATCTTGCGGCTTTAGCAACACCGATAATCGTCTCCCGCGATCGCGGCAATACCCGTGCGCATATCGCGGCAACGCCCGTAGGCATCTCACGTGGTTTCGGCGACACCGATAATCGTCTCTCGCGATCGCGGCAATACCCGTGAGCATATCTTGCGGTTTCGGCAACACCGATAATCGTCTCCCGCGATCGCGGCAATACCCGTGAGCATATCTTGCGGCTTTAGCAACACCGATAATCGTCTCCCGCGATCGCGGCAATACCCGTGAGCATATCTTGCGGTTTCGGCAACACCGATAATCGTTTCCCGCGATCGTGGCAACAAAAGCGGTAGTGTTTCGGTTAGGCGACGATTCCGATGACTGGGCTCCGGATTCCCGGAGGTTTGGGTGGATTCCTGGAGTTTTCCAGGACATTTCAAGGTAAGATAAAATTCCCGGAGGTTTCCCGGTTTTCCCGAATTTCCCGGAGAGTAGACACCATGTAAAACTATGTAAATGGCCTTTAATGTGGTAATTTGCCTTTTATTACATCATCAAAATACAATTAGTAGGCTCTTGCTCAATCATGATATGTAAAGTTAATAACCTTGTAATAAAAACTGTAACGTAAAATCACAGCTTACTCAAACAAAAAAATTATGATGACTCTTAACCGTAGTGGAGTGAGTTCAGCTTTTGTTTACCAGTGAAAATAAACTGTTTTTTGGTGGTTATTTTTTCGAGTGTTGGTGGGGTGTTTTGGGTCAAGGTGCATCCCTTAGGGGTCCGTCAAGGTGCCAAAACTTGGATTTGATCTCTGGCTGTGAATTTTAATTCATTAACGTCAAAAGGCAAGTGCATAACCTCAAAGTAACACTCGGGTGGTAAAACCCATTCTATTAGTTTTTTTTTTTTTTTTTTTTTTTTACATTTTGGCTAGGCAGTAAGTCATTTTCTTCTGTACATAGCTCTTACACACTCTTTTGAATGCTCACAATTGTTTTTTCCGCCCCAACAGAACTTTTTTAGGACTGTTAAAAATTTGTTCTTCAACTTCCAGTTTTGGGCGTTTTTTGGAGTTTTTTGGGCAAAAAGCCCGCAGGTCAGGATCAGAAAACACAATAGACTCAGCAAGACACCAAGTTTGAACATTTTCTATCAACAAACAGCTTCAATAAAAGGAAATTAGGCCACAACACAGGATCTACGATTTTTTTGGAAACAACACAGCTTCATCAAAATTTCTTTCACACAAAAATACAGGTCGCTGTTAGGGTGCTTCCCACCAAATTTTGAGAAAATCAGTCCGTGGGATTGCAAAAAAAAAATTAAAAAATTTTAATAATTTTTTTTTTGCCTTAAGGTAAATTTTTAGATTCATTGAAGCACATGTCAGTTTTTGAGGTTATTTCCTGTTAGCTCCTTAATGGAAAATTTTTTTAGATTTGGTTTGGTCAGAATCCGATTTTTTCACTTCCGGACAGATTCCCGCCATTTTCAAACCAAAAAAACAGTGAGAAGTATAAGAATATTAAATTTGTTTGAGTCACTTTTCAACAACAACAGGAATTGGAAGAGGATTACCCAAAAGGGTAATTTTGGGCAGGTTTAACCTTCTCTGGGGACAATTTCCCTCAGGGATAATTTTTTGGCACCCACTGGGATCTGGGCCCCCCTCAGGGAAAAAAGGGAGAAGGCGAAGGGATTTTCTTGGAGACTTCAATGGTCGGAGTAACAGAAGCATTTGACTTAGGAGACTTCAACGGTGGGTCATTGGAAGGCTTGGAGACTTGAACGTGGGGGTGGCCTGAAGCAGCACTGAAAAAAAAATAGTATATCCACATTGCCCCAATTTCAAAAGTTTTTTTGGGTTTTCACTTGGTAATCTTGTTAGGAGTGCAGTGCACGTCACTTTGATTGTCGGAAGCCACGCCCGTGGCTCGGCCGGGGCTACTGGCCTTCGACCAAGATGGAAAAGACGATTATCAAAAATTCTTCGGAAGATCATCTAGGTTGAGTCGATCGCCTATCAAGACTCCAGGAGGGCAGCAACAAGGCGATGCGGAGGAGGCAGGCTTGGAAAGGTCACCGATAAATGATGCTGCGGACCTGGCAGCAAGGAAGGCGGCGGAGGTGGCTCAGCATGCCGAAAACCTTGACAGGGCCAATCGGGAAGCTAAGGTGGCTGAAGATGAGCTCAGGCGCCTTCAACAAGAGGAGGCAAGATCTAGGATGTGGCAGAAGGGTCCACATCCACCATCTGGCCACTGTGTCCAGCCAGTCTTGTTTGAGTGAGAGCTCCAATTCTAAGAGGAAGAGGATCAACGAGGATGAACTTTTGGAGGACTTCAGGTACAGTGGAGGACTGGGTGATCAGACATCCTTCAAGGGAGCGGCAAGAGAAATAGTGGGCCACTGTGAAAAACTGTTTGGACCGAATAAAGTGGCCATACTTGAAAGATTGAACTTCATGTCTGTCATCATGTCTCGCCAGGCTAGTGAGATTGAGTACCTGAGCGGTTTGGTGGATGGAAGAGCATCAGTGGAGGCAGAACTGAAGAAGTTGACGGGGTTGCTTCTTGTAGGCACCCCGTCCGGTAAGGCAAGATCCTTTGCCGAAGCAGCCAAGAACAACCCAGCTGCAAGCCCTAATGCCATTGTTATAAGGCCAAGGGCCGATGAGCAGGGCAGGCCTGAGATATCGTCTGAGGAAACCAGGAGGGCGGTGGTTGCCGCCTTAAATCCAAGGGAAGACAAGATTCAAATATTGAGAGTTCGATCCGGCAGAGAGGGTTCTATAATTGTTGAGGCGGCTGACAAGAGTAACGCCACCAAAATCCTTAACAGTAAAGCCATTTCGTCAGATGCTGAAATCCAGAAGCTGTATAAGGCCGACCCAGCTCGTTTGGCTGAACTTGTCCGTACTAACAAGACTTGAGAGGGGGTTTCGGAGGCAAGAGATTGAACCTCCAAAACATGAGTTGGAGCGAACATATTCTCAACTCTGGGGTGCCGCTCAGAGAGATCCGCCTGCCAGACCTATTTTTGATGGAGAGACATTTTACCTGAGTCCGATAAGAGCATCAGATATCAAGTTTAGAATAAAGAAAATGAAGTCCAAGGTAGCGCCAGGACCGGACGGGATCAGGAAGGAACATTTGATGAGATTCCGAGGGATCGCCCACGTCTTGGCCGGAGTCTTCAATGCAATCCTCTTGGCGGGAAAATATCCCAATGCCTGGTCAATCAACACTACGTCAGTTATCCCCAAGGAGGGGAAAGACCTTGCACTGGCCGGCAGCTGGAGACCAATTTCCATTGGAAACGCATTTGCCCGAATCTTCAGTGGAGTACTTGACGATAGACTAAGGAAAAAGGTGGCCTTAGATGTTAGACAACGAGGTTTTGTGGCTGGCAATGGGTGCTTCGC